CAGAACCCAACATATAACAAAAGCAGATTATGATGAAACTGGACCTTTCTGTGGTTCACCGGAAATGCTTCTGAGAGTGGACGATCAAGTTAATTACATGGTATCACTAATTTTAGCTCGTAGTCTAGTAGATAATTGTGGTGCTGGTAGGATCTTAGAAAGAGAATCTGTTTAATCTGTAAGGCCTCAGTTCAGCATAGCTGACTTGATTGCTTGATTCTTCTTAATTTGTAAGGGTTCAGATCGCTTCAGTTTTGTCAAGATTAACTTCCTGTCAGTGTGGAAGCAAGTAAATTTAGATATTACGTTTTTGTACCCAGGGAAAAAAAATTGACATAAATTTTTAACTGGATAGATTTGTTTTTTTGAATTATTACTTTGAGAAAATGTTTATTTGACTAATAGGTCTAATATATACAATATACAAGGATTTCAGTCTTGTTTTTCTCTATTAGCCCCAGTGGAATCAAAATTGAGAAGTAGCCAAGACAGGCTGCTCAAAACCAAGCAGGTGAAATTCCAGGTCAGAAAGTATACTATTGTAATTTTTTTTAGTACAACGTAATATATGTGTTAAGTAAGAATTGACTTTTAATCTTTACTTTGTAGATACGGAGAATTATTACTAACCCAAGGGTTTCTAGTTTACTTTATGTCGAAGTTCTTCTCTCTTCTCTCTCTTTTCTCTAAAATCCTAGTCCACCCTCGGACTTTGGTTGGCCACCAAGGCTGGTCTTTTCATCCCACTTCTCAATGACCTCGTATGGTAGACGATATCTTTACATGGAAAATAAATCCTTCGACTTGTGTTGTGATGGCAAGAAAGCAGACGGTCTTCGAATCACGGAGAACGAACGTGGTTTCAAAAGGTTGATATTCCTAGATAAGGAGGAATTTGTTTGGTTCCTCGACGCGCTCGGTGATTTCTGGTGGAAAAGCAAACTGGGTACATGGGCCAAAAACTTTGTGAGAAGGAACTACAAAATATGGTTGACGTATGGTTCAAATTGGCGAGGGAAATATCTTAATCTTTCTGTCCAAGGTGGTAGAAGTGTAAAGAGGATTTTCTTTCCGGGCGGATTGTAGGGTGGAGGTTGGTGGAAACTAATGGTTGCAGCTTCTGAGTTAGCGGATAAAAGAAACATTGAACTTGATAGGCTTAAGGCGAACCGAAACCAAATGAAATTTTCTTAGAAAGCCTTCTTCCATTGCCCACATTGTAATACCCCGATCAACGTCAATGTAGCAATGGAAATCGAAGGTACAAAAACGTATGTGGTGGGGCTACAGGCAGGTGAAGACAAGGTGAGGCGGGTAGGGCAGAGCCATTCCGTGTGGGCTAATTGGGTTGACCCGATTGGAAAGATCCGGAATGAAAAGGGGCCTTTGTGTGATGTGCAAAACGACTGAGGCTTGCATTGTTTTGGCAAAAAAGGGGATAAGGGAGTTGTAGTGACAGGCCAAGATCAGAGGGGCAAATCAAATGGTTCGGGTGACAAAAAAAAAGATACTCATGGAGAGAAAAAGGGAAATGGAAGATGGAGACTGATATCGTCGAGTGCCCATTAGCTAGCTTGGACCTAGGTCTCAGTGTTAACTCGATCCGGGGCGAGTCTTCAGGCTTTAATAAAGTGGAAGTGAGTGAGGAATTGGTCCAGACTGAAAGCAGAGAAAATGTTCTTTCTGAGTTAGGGTTTGTCAAAGAGAAATTGGCTGATGATGCCGAGAAGAGAGTTTGCGAAGATGAGTGCTCGGAGTTGA